ACTAAATATCACGCTATGTCAGCTGCCTGTTATGAGATTGTGTGGTTGCGAAGATTTCTAGTAGAATTGGTGTTTCCCAATCAACAACTACGCCATCCATGGTGACAACACTAGTATTGTACGGATTGCAGCTAATCCCTATGTATCATGAATGCACCAAGCACATTGAAGTTGACTATCATTCTATACGGGACAGCTACGATTTCAAGATTATCTTTCTTCCTTATGTTTCCACTACTAACCAGCTCATAGATATCTTCACTCGTCATAATTTTCTCGTCAGCAGATTGATACTTGTAGACTCACTAACATCAACTTGAGGGGGGTATTTGAGGCTTATATTCAGCACGCTTATTTCCAGCAATTTAATTATTAAGTTTTCTTGTATAGCATATTTACATGGCATCGGATTTGGGATTGCTTTCCATGTATAGTTTGTAATACCTTATAAATGTAACAAAATACATAACAAAGAATTCATTCAGCAAAATTTGTTTTGGCAAAGGTAACTCGATGGGTTATTCAGTCGTTGGAGAAGTCAATGAGCCAGATGCTTATGTTGCTCCAACACACAACTAATACAACACCAGGAAGCCCTCCTAGACTGTATGGCGGTGCATCTCATCTATAGCCATCTTTTGTGCATTGATGTTCCTGTCACTGCTTCTGGAAGAATTGAGAAAACACTTAAAGAAGATTGAAGATAGGCTATGGAGGCAATTTATGAAAAGTTGATGAAGTGTGATCTTACTATGGGAGGATAGAGCAACAAGTGGGGGAAGTAAGATCACACCATGAGAGAATAGAGCAGATTGGCAATATCCTGGATATGTGGTTCACGTGGGACTTCAGCTCAAGAGGAGTTTCAGGTACAGTTTTTAACTCTTCACTATGTTTCATCTTCTTCAGTGTGCAGAATAATGATTTGATTCTGTGCAATAAAGGGACATTATTTTGAGAGGGATATGACCCACACATGGAGGAGGATCAGCCTCGTGAAGAGGGAGGTCAGACTCATGAGGATGAGGTTCAAGGACCATTTTTTAACTTTTCATTCTCTCTCATTTGATCAAGCAGATTTTTAATTAATGAGAAAACTAAGTCATACACTTAATTTTGAATCATTTCTACATTTCAGACTTATGAAGAGGTTCAAATACATATTTTTTTCACTTTCTATTATATTTCATTGTCTTTGGCCTGCAGAATAATAACGTGATACTCTTCAATTATATTTGATATAGTAGATTTTTACTAAGTAACGAGAAAACTAAAGAAAGCATCTAACTTTGAATCCTTGTCCATTTCAGACTCACGAGCAGTTTAACCCACATGTGGAGGAGGTTCAGCCTTATGAAGGGGAGTTCAGACTCAAAAGGATAGGTTCAAGTACATTTTTTAACTTATTATCATCTTTCGTTAGATAAAGTAGTTTTTTATTAATGAGAAAACTAGAGCATACATTTAAGTTCGAATCACTGCTCCATTTCAGATGTGCAAGTTAGACATTCCAATACTTGTGGGAGAGGTTCTTCAAACTCGTGGATGAGTTTCAGGCACAGTTTTTAATTTTCAACGATCTTTCATTTGATTAAGGGGATTTGTGTCTGATAATAAGAAAACTAAAACAAGCATTTAACTTTGAATCTTCTCTACATTTCAGATTCTCGAATAGGTGGTTCAACCAATTGTGGAGAAGGTTTTGCCTCATGAAGCATGCCCTTTTTGTTGTACTTCCCTTGCCAGTTGTTCAGGTTGATGATTATGATGAAGTGCCTCATGAATTCCAAAGCATACACAAGGAATGTGATCCAAAAAAATGGTGAGCATTTTTTCTTTCTATTCAAATCAAACAAAGCAGATTAAATATAGTCGGGACATTGTGTATGACCGCTTACATGCTTCTAACTCGAAGAAGGCCAGTGATTTTCAAATTGGCATGACAAAGCACCTGAAAGATACTATTTTTGCCTGATTTAGTTTGTTCAATTTTTTTGGTCTTAATTCAAAGAAGTTTAGTTATGTTATTTCTTTTTATGAAGTGGCGAAATGATTTTTTTTTTTTCTTTTATCATGTTATGTGTCCATGACATCGCCAATCTACTGCTCTAATCTCCAGCAGGAGGATTTCACACCCTGGCCTGCTTCTTGCTCTGTTTTCTCGTAGTAGGATTGAGATTCCATCAAATTCTTTCACAAATTGTCTTTGTAGCCTATCCTCCATCTCTTGTAGGTGTTCTCAATTCTTCAGAGTGGCAGTGATCTGGAGATTGACTGGAGATTAGATGCAGTCACATTATGTAAGAGGGATTCTCGGTGTTGTATTAGCTTTATGGGTAGGAGAGGCATAAGCATACGTCTCATCATCTCCTTCTCCGATTGAATACTACTACTCCCCCACATCGTTGCCTTTATCAGTATCTCAATACTTCTGTTCCAGTGATCCAAGAAATCATCAAAGTTTTAGGCCCTATTCGATATGCCCTTATTTTCCATGGAAAATGGAAATTAAATTCCTTTTCCCACTTTTTGGCATGTTCGATGGTAGAATTTTTCCATGGAAATAGTTTTCCCCAAACCCTTGCCACATCAGCAGTTTCTTGCTTTTTGATTTTTCCAGGTTTTCCCTTTTCTTTTCTTTTTTTTTTTTTTTTTTTTTTTTTTTTTTTTTTTTGGGAAAAAAAAAAAAAAAAAAAAAATATTTGTTTGACCTGCCGATGTGGGTAGGTGGGTAACATAATTTTTGCCCACCGTGAACAGGGAATAAATTTTAGCATAATGAAATGACATGCTGCAAAATTCCAATGCCGTTACTTTGAATTTTCTCCGTTTTTTTTTTTTTTTTTTTTTTTTTTTTTTGTGGCAATGGAAACAAGTGTGATAAAGTATCACATTGTCATGGCCGTGTGAATTGCTAAGCTGTATTTTTTCCCAATTTATTCTACAAGTGTAAGCGCAAAGACGACTTCAATTTTCTCAAGTTCTTCACGCATTACTCCGTTAATAAAGTCTTATAGTTGGTAAACCAATTTAGCTTCATTTTGCAGGCAGATCAGCATCATGTCTGATGATTTTCTCACCTACTCATGACATGAGCCTATTTGGATAGTTTCAACCAGCTATCAATCAGTGCAAGACATTCTTATTACGCACAAATCAAGATCAAGAACAACGTTTGATTGTTCCATAAAGAGATTGGGTTGGAAATTCCAGGGAAGCTTATACAGGTTGAGCTTAATTTATTTCGAGATATTTTTCTACTGGATTATTGTATTTAGTGTCTATGATAAGTGTAAATTATTTTTGCAAATAAGTTGGATCGTTGTTTTTTGCTTTCTGAGAGATTATTAATTCAGGTATTGTTTCTGTTTCAATATCCATTTATTTGTTTACTAAAGAGGATTTTCTTTCTTATGTTGAATCATGTTATTCATTGATTAGATAAAATAAGAATTTATGTAGTCCACATTTTTTGAGAATATAAAGTTTAGATAATGTATGTTCGGGTTGGTTTCAATTAGGTAGCCTACACGTCACATATTTGGAATAATGAGGTTTCCTGATTTACATATACATCAAGTTATAACCAATGGCAAAAAATTAAGAAGGTCAAGTTCTTCGATTCAATTCTTGGTAAGCAAACTCGTTTATTCTCAATTTTAATAATCATTACCCAATCTAGAGGGTGTTTGAGCCACATTATTTTGGAAATAATACATTCTTGAATAGTGTATTGATGGGAAATGTATGGTTAAAAAATAAGGAAAAGTTTTTAATTTGCGTGTAATATTATTTTATTGAAAAATGTGGTTGAAGTAATGTCAAATCACTGTTTAAGAATATATTTTTTCGGAATAATATGGCTCAAACAAGCCTTTAATCTAAGAATAATTGAATTGAAGAACATTAATTAAATAAAATAATAATACTGTAAAATTATTATCAAAATATTCAATTAACAACTATGTAGATTATAAATTAATTTCAACTACTAAATAAAATATCCATATTTATAAGACTTAAAATCCAATAATTTAAGACTTCTTTTGTGATTAGACAAACAGTGTCCAGCCCATTATATTATTATATTATACACTATAAACAAATTGCAGGTAATTTATGCAGCCTCATTAAATATTGGATACCAAAAATAAGAGACACATTTTTCAGCTGATAATAGTGTCGTTTCTTCTTTAATAAAACAAGAAAAAATATTATGTCAACAAAATTGTGGAAATATGTTGACTTGGTGAATAATATGATACCTACAAGATTTGTGTTAGGTTCGACCGTCTCTTTAATAAATAATAATAATAATATGGTATACGTTTGACTTTACATCTCTCTTCGAAAAATTTTGAATTAGTACTTGTTTGGTAGAGATTTTGTTAATTAATTTTTTGATCGTTAGAGATAAAGTGATTCCTATCTGTGAAAGAAAAATTCAAAAATGACTACTGGAATAATGAAATAACGGTCAAAAAATTGATTTTAATTAAATTTTAAGTTGTACCAAACATGCTCTTATATTGTTTGCATTGTGAATACACATTTTGCTTCTAAATCAATGGTAAATTGATGCTTAGTTTATACAAAATAAAAAAAGAGACTATAAGTTATATGAATAAAATTCATATAGCTACTCGCTATTCCGATTAATCTAAGCATTCTTTAATTGTAGATTAAAAAGGTTTATTGTAAAACTTAAATGAATTTTTATATAACATAGCATTTATTCATGTTTTGATAGTAGTAATCTTCGTTGAATTAAATCATCCATGTTACATAAATAGCGAAAGTGCACTGATACTGATAAGTTATAATTTAGAGTAATGATATTATTCATAGTCATTCACTGCGGTAGTCGCTCTACATGACATCCTACTTGACAGTTTTTGATTTGATATATTAATATGGTAGTTTTTTCTTTTCACATATATTAAATCACTAACCGTCACATGCATGTCACGTAGGACGACTGAGGTAGCGAGTGATTGCAAATAGCATTATTCAATAATTTATGTCTAACAAAAACACTAATTCAATAAAAAAAAATGTTTAAATATTATGAATTTATGACAAATAATGCAAGATTGGCATGATAAAATTGATCTTCTAAAATAATTTCGTGTATTAAAATTTGGCAACTTGATGGTTAGCTAAAAGGTATACCTTTGGCTTCTGCATTTATGAGGCTGTCGCATCAATCACTATAATCTTTAATTTTCTTTTTAAGTCTAATTAAATTCATCACAGACAAGTCAATAATAATTCGATCATAATTAAAAATCCAACTTTTCTATGTGAGGTCGGTTAGTTGAATGGTTGGCTAACATTAAATGCAAATTTCAAAATATTAGACTTCCATTATAACGTCGTTACTTCTTGGAAAGTTTACGTCAAAATTTTGTTTAAATGTATTATAAATTTGACAACTTTATTTTACTTAAAAAAAAAAAATTTTTGACAAGTATCGTGATGTGTAAACTAAATTTATTTTCATCGAACATTAACTAGACTCGTGAACGTTAAATATTTTTGTGTTATCCTAATTCCGGATTAAAATATTTTATCCATTATTTTATATGGGTAAAATCGAGATAATTTATTTTTATAGATAATAATAAAATGTTCAATATTAATTCAAAGCTCCTTAGGGCTATGTCTTCCAAAGATGTAATGGTCACATGCATGCCTTTGACTGTTTGGTAGGGTAATAAATGCTGTTAAAGGCAATTTTGTAAACTACTCCAACATTTCAAGAAAGGGATGGAATTATTAATTTCTCAATTAGCAAGTCATGTAAGCACTCATTTGATTCTCATTATTTACCCATTAAAATGAAAAATTTGACTGTTATTCATCACATCAAGCCACCATATTTGACTTTCTATCTCTTGTGTGGAGTCCGTAACGAATATATTTTTCATTCTCATTTTTACATTAATATATACCAAATAGGGCCTAAATAGGAAAAATATAGCTTTATAGACTTGACCAGAATTTGTTAGGGCAACAATAATGCTTCTTATGGGAAGAAATTTAACATAATTAAGAACAAAAATTGAAGAAGAAGTGTTGTACGAGTTCATCAAGTGATAAGTCGATGCTTGCATCCTTTTTTCTTTTTTCTTTTTTTTAATGACGGAGGAACTCGTAACCGCTATCCTTCAGGTGCGCATTGAATAAACTCTCAAGTTTGCCTTATTTTGTTATCCAGAAAAGATTAATTTATTTGAATGAAAAATACTTTATCCCAATAGTTTCTTTAATGAACAAGACTTTATTGAACCATGGCTTTCAGTTTCTTTATTGTTATTGGGGTGTCGATTAATCTCACTTTATTTTCAGCTTATAAGATCATATGCGAAGATTGTTGGATATCAAAATGTTGACGAATTTCATTATTGAAAGATCTTTGATAGTTTATATTGATAGAGCAGAGGTCGTGGATTGTTTGTTTGCACATAGAATTTGTATATAAACACAACGTATACCACAAAAAATTAAGTGAAACATATATCCAACCTGTTATTTAATGGAACAGACTTTTCAGCTATATGTAGGTTTATGAGCCATCGATGATAAATTTTTCAACTATATTTTGCTATGGGGTTGTTGACCAGCCAAAAGTGATTAAATAAAAAAAAAAAAAATCTTAATCATTGAGGTTTTAAAGCAATAAAATAATTACTCCAGTCTAAGTCCCAGATTTATAGTAGCAGCAGAACATGTTTCACTCATGCTTCAAATTATCACTCTAAATTTATCTTAGTATAAGAATTAGGAAACTACCCAAAATAGCTAAAAATTGATGACCAACTAAAAAAATTATTGAAAGCACAATTCAATAACAAACCATCGTAGCAAACGAACTTAAAAAACTAAAACCTTAATAAAAACAATGTTCATGACATAACAAAAATGCAGTTTCCACGATAGTTGGTTCTTGTCTAACCTTTGTATCTTCATATTTTTAGTGACGGTTATGATACTCATCAAAACCGACTAAGAGAGTAGATTTTTCCAATGAATTGAAGAATAAACAAATGTACAAGGTTGATCGTGGCCCGTGTCATTTATTCTTCATTACGAAAAATAAAATGGTCCATGAGTTAGCATCTAACATTTTTATTTCAAAATTCTTTTTCATGAATTGGTTGGATTTCTTGATTTATCTCACCTTTCGTTCGGGACGAAGTTGGTCAAATACATATTAATTAATTTGAATTCTTAAGTAATTTAATTAGTTAAGATCAATTCGATGAACAAGTCAGTTGAGTGACATTTCAAACAAAAAGAAAATTTATTAGGTCAAATAATTTATTAAAAGTTAGGATCAATTTGATGAACAACTGCGTGTAATTTCTGTAACATCACGGATTAATTTCAAAGCCACCATTACTGACCACCGACCCTTCTTTATAACGCAAACAATCACAGACTTTCTCTAAGTCAATCCCTCAACTTGTATCCATCCATATACATACACATTTATTTATATTATATGTGTATTTATGTATATTTTGCTTTGTATAGACAAATCTCTCTAAGATGGGAAATGCATTATCTCCATGCTGCAGACCAGAATCAAGTTCATCGGTGAAGTTAATATTCCACGGCGGCGCCACCAGAATTCTCACCGAAAAAAGCGTAGCCGGAGAGATTATGTTCGAGTTCCCGGACCATATGGTATGCCATGCAGATTCATTCTTCATAGGCCAACCAATTCCTGCACTCGTCATTGACGATGAACTCATTACTTCTCAAACCTACTTTGTTCTTCCCATTGATTACTTCCCATCTAACGTTCTTTCAGCTTCTACTCTAGCCGCTTTAGGAAACCGGCAGAAAGGCGCTCGGGTGAGTTTCGAGGGGTGCCCTTTTGAGTACTTGAAGGGATCAAACGGCAGGGTTTCGATCAGGGTTTTGCCGGAATTTTTGACCAAGATCTTTACAGGGGGTAATGAAAATGGAGGTGAAGATTCCGATGGTCCGGCAGGAGGTAGTTTTCTGTGCAGCACACCGGAGTTGAAGAAGCATTATAATCAATTGGTGGGGTCTAAGGATCAGGTTTGGTCACCAAAACTGGAAACCATTTCGGAGTATAAAATTAGGTATTCGCCTTGTAGATTCATAGGGTTGGAGTGGAAGCAAAAGGAGGCAAAAAATTGATCTGTATTTAAAAATTAGAAAATCCGTTTTTACAGCACTGTTCTTGAATATTGCTGGACGGGATTGGGATTAGACAGTTCAATAGAGAAGTATACCACACGTCATTAGGGTTACCAAAGATATACATATAACCACTTTTTCTTCCTTTTTTTCCCCTTTTTTTGCAATTTTTTGAGATTTTGTTCTACAATTTGTAAAAACTGTATCTTGCTACTAACCTGTAATTTTGGGGAATGGTTCTCAGTTGAAGAGACTTAGCCTCCGTTTGGCAAACTTTATAAATCAATTTTTGAATTGTTCTGAAATGCCTCGTTAAAAGATTGTTTATATGATGTTTTCTTGTTCATATTCAGGCCTCGTTCAAGAATTATTTTGAATCCAATTTGCAGGAATCCATATACACCAGATCGGACTTGATTATTAATAAGTAAATATATCTGTCATTTCGTGATTTCTCTTTTTATGTCACAATCATGCTGTAACATGTATCCTCTCCATTCAACCCGATTTTTTTATTTATTTTATTTCAGGAGTTCAGAGAAAAGATTTTCGTACTCTTTGGTTGTTAGTTGTTACAGAAAGCATGTAATTTTTTTGTATCAATTGTAGGACTTAATTAATTTACATAAATATTTTCTATTTGCACGCTTTTATATTGCAGCATAATGAATATATCTATACACCTCTGATCCTTTCATTTGGTCCATCTGTACTAAATGTCCGGATTATGTGAAGTGGATGAAAATAAATCTTCAATTCTTTAAGTAATTAATTGACTTCTGGATAATTAAGATGAATTTTTTAATGAATTTGATAATTATGATCACACCAATTCAACTGACTTTTCCTAGTTTTCTATACAGTTTTATATTTCGAATAAATATTTATTTGTATTGATAATTCAAAAACATTGATTAATGAATATAATCATTTCATTAAGAGAAATGAAATAAATAATTAGTTTGGTGATCCAGCTTTTATACACGTTCTTCTCTTCAAGTTTTAATTAATATTATTTATGGCAGTTTTGGTCCATTTTTATCATTAAAAGGGGTAAGAGGTTGCAAGGGCTCCACGTTCTGTTCATGTCCGCTGAAGAAGGGCGAACGTGAATAGGGCATGGTCAACTATTCATAAAGAGATATTTATTTATCCTCATTTATGATCTGTTGAATTTCCTGAACACTTTTCATTTTTGGCACGTAGTGCTAAACATAAATCATATGTCGTGTAAATGTAAAAATAACGATTAAGGTTAAACATTTTTGACAGATGTTGATAATTAAAAATGACTTGACAATTCTAGATCAACTTGAAGAAAATTTAGACAGAACTCGTGTACTGCTTGCTGGAATTTTGCTTATATATATTATCTGCCATGCCCTTTTCTTCATTATTTACGTTACAGATTTAGGGTTTGTCGTTCTTGTCTTGTACAATATCCGACCTATTGATGCGTATCATCGCCCAATTTGGAGGGATTTTGTCAACTAGGGAGTTTGACTTATCATGTGCCTAGGCTGTAGCCTACAACCTATGTCATTATTGCTTTCTTTGATTGGTGGAGACGACGGTGCTGACGTCATGAGGAGATGTCCTTTCAGTTTAGTTATGACAATGTTTCCTCCGATGTTGCTCTTTGATTGGTGGAGATTGCAGTGTTGTCGGAATGCACCATGCAATCGCACAATACAAACTATCACATGGGCAAAGCTTTCCGGCCCTCTTGTAATTGCAATGTTCCTCTTGCGATCGCAAGGCCCTTCAAGTTGATCCCCATTTAACTTTGTCCTTGGATTTATCCTCGCGTTCAACTGAGTCCTTCCTTATTTGTACTAGTTATCCTTCATCTTTAAATATTTATACTTTGATTACCACCTATTCGCTCAATTCATCCTAATTTATCAAGTTTAGAAGTTCATATACGCGTATAAAAAACTCTTATCAATCTTCATCTTGAATACTAATCATATGCTCCGAGTGACCTAGAGTCTCATGTTATAGTCTATTGCAGAAAATTGCATTGCTCGACTTATATCAATTCTTGGTCTCCACGTTGGACTTAAATTTACGAGGGAAAATTTCACAAGTCAGGTTTTTTAAGTATGGAGTAATTCAATTTTCAGATTTTAAGTTTCAAAGTTCAAAATGTAGACTAAACATATTTTATTAATTAAATGTATGGATAATTGCAGCAAAATCTCCAAACCTTTAAACACTTCAGACTTCCATGTAACATTTCATTTGTTACATTCGTCATCCCAAACCCTTCAAAACGTTGCATCTTAGTCCCTTTTGGGCAATTTCCATCCACAATTCCATCAATTGGCCAAAAATTTAACTTTGACCACATGTTTAATATTTTAAAGAATGGCAAAAGGGTAACTTTTCATTTATCACATTAAATAATTAATTTGAAAATATATGAAATAAGAAATAAAATGCCTAAAAAAAAAAAAAAAAACACACACTTCCTCTCACCCACCTCCACCTCAAACCCAAAATCCACCCGACGGTATAGAAAGGTAGAAGGTGGAGAAAGATGGGGGTGGGGTGGGGGGGGGAATGATTAGGGTCTGAATGAATAACGTAGAGATATTGTGTATATAAATTAATTTTTAATATTATTATTGTTATTAAACACATGATTAATGAATAATGAAATTTATCACCTAATTTTAGAATTGTATTCTTTAAAAGTTGGGTGCAGTGTAATTTCTACAATTTTTAATCTCACAAACAAGCCCAATTTACATTACTTGGATATTTCTATAAAAGTACCAACACAACAATTCTAACAGTTTGCATAATCTATTAGTATATAATTTTATGGGATATATTTGGGAGTAAGGTTGTAATAGACACTGTGAATTTAATAACTTTTCACATAGTAAGTAAATCTTTATTTTTTGTTGCTCATCGTTTGTCACTAGGTTTTAAGTTCTCTGTGTAAATCTTTATATTCTTGCAGCATTTTTCATTGTTATTATTCAATATTGATATTTCTTGATTTTGTGAGTAAAACTTGCAAATAGGCTTAGATTTCCAACATATATTGACAATATAAGATGAATCGAGCTGACTGTACAGGTCACTCACACATGTAAAGGGTGGGTGAATTTTTTGTTTAAATAATCACCCACCTCAACATGTGTCTGACCTGTACAATCAGAATTATTCATATAAGATTACTCTACCTCTGCATGACCATATTATCTATGTCTAGTCCAACTTACAACAGCTATAAAATTGGTCCATGACAAGTCCAACCCATGGAGAGAACCTTTTGAGCTTATTCAACGTGCCATGTTTGGGAAATGGTTATAAGTGGTGAGTGTGTGTAGATAATAAATTGTAGTATATTTGAATCATACAAAATGTGTGAATATAAAGTTTGTATGATCGGAAGTGATTAAATTATAATCACTTATTGAACATGCTCTAATTTATTGTTTATCTAGTCTACTTTACTAAGGGTTTGTTTGACGCAATTTATTTTTCTTGTAAAAGATTTTTCGATGAAGTTACTTTAAACTAACTTCATTTAAAAGCTCTTCTAACAAAACAAACCATTTCCAGAAAATTATCTATTCAAAAATTGCTTCTTAATCTCAATAATAGTTTTTCAGTTTTCAAAAGTCCTTCTAAACAAGCCCTACAAGTTGTAAATCATGCAGAATGTATAGATAATAAATGGATAGTGATTGTGAATATTGCAAAATGTGTTAATAAGAAGTTTGTTTGACCAAAAGTTATTAAAGCAGAATCACTTACCAAAGCGCTCTAATTTATCGTTTATCTAGTCAACTTTACTAAACATCTCAATGGTATGTAAAGTTACAATCTTCAAAAAACACTATGAAAATATTTGCTACATAATAATGGATATAATTTAACACTACTATAGTCACGATTTTAATTTTTTTTTTCCCTACTATTGACTATGCAACTCAACTTACTAAACACTTTTTTGAAAAAATGGAGCCTAAACAAATGCATAATATTAAACAAAATAAAACAATGTTATATAAACAAGAATCAAATATATCTTTCTAAACATATCCCGCAGATAATGAAACATATAATTTAGTGCACTATGGAATGGAGACAAAGTGCTCTACATGATTCAGTGTAATTGTGACAAGATACACTCCATCTTTTTATCCATCTTTATTGTGTTTTCAATACTCAATTTCCACTTAATGTACTTTTGTTGGACATCATTATTGTTTATTTGGACTTTCATGTATTTTGTGATATCCTTGCATTGAAATTATGTTTGATCGAGAAAAAAATGCCATGTTCTCGTAAGTTCAAAGATTGGGATATTTACATTATTCAAGTATGGCAATAAGACATGACGATACTGAGCAGGCTTCTCCCATCCCATTCCCACAAAGATTTTTGGTAGTTGGGGAGGGGACACGAACGGGGACTGTATACATAGTTTAAAATATTTTAAAATGTGATTTAAATTGTAAAACATTATGGATCAGATAATTTTGCCATCCTTGTGGACTGTGGATACCCCCAAAATAATAATAAGAAGAATAAATGAAGATCACATGCAGATTACAAATCGGACGGTGTAGAATTTGTGGACACTGTATAGTGATACAGATGCGAAGCACAAGATTCAAGCTCCGTTTCGTCTAATATAATACAAATTGGCTGACGCGTGGCGATTGCAACGTGCAGAACGAACGGGCGGAGGATATTTAACGCCCAAAAGTAATGCACAAACAATGTTCTGTCACTTTTACCCAAATGCGTTAGAAGAATCTACATTCCACGCCCTTTTCAAGTGATTACTAGTGGGTTTTACTTTCTTTTTCTTATTTGCATTTTCAATTTTCTTCCATAGTTCTTGAGTTCTCGTCCGTTCTTTTTTTTCAATTTTTTTTGTAAGTAGATTGTTTTCATCCACCAAAGAAGAGTAACAATCTATTTAGACAGGATTTTTGAAAATTCAAAAATAATTTCTAAGATTATGAAAGAAGTAAAAGCAAAAAATCGTAAGTTCTATCAGCTGAAACCTAAATGCATGTTAGTATTGATTGATTATCATTTAAGAGTGTGTTTAACGATGCTTATAGTGTGATATGTTCTGTTTTGGCAAGACTTTTCATTCTATTTTGTTTTTTGTAGAAGAATTTTCAAAGGAAACTATTTTAGATCAACTCCTCTAAAAGCTGTTCTAGTTATATATAGAACATTTTTATATAATTATACAAATATATTCCGAAAGCAGTTTTTTAATTTCAAAAATATATATGAACTTTTCAGAAATCCTATCAAGAGGGTTCTAAATAGCTTGGAAATAGCCT